GGCGGCGCAGGCTGTGCAACAAGCTACTCACCAGACATCCCAGGCTGCCACTGCACCGACAACGGTGCAAGGAACACAAGAGGAGGATGTGTCGAGTTATGGCAGAGGAGGGGAGTACAGGGATAGAGCTATGGAGAGGATGGCCGAACAGCTGAGGCAATTGCAGGAGAAGGTGGAAGGGAGGCCAGAAAGACGTGCTCGAGGACACCCATTCTCGAGGGAAATTCTAGCTGCGCCGTTACCTGCAAGTTTTCGGGAGATAAACCTGATTTTCGATGGATCGAGTGACCCGTCGAGGCACGTGAGAGCATTCGAAAACATGTCCGTCTTACATGGATACTCAGATCCGGTCAGCTGCAGGGCCTTCTTGTCGACCCTACGAGGAGGTGCGCTTGACTGGTTCCACCAACTGACTCCAGGTTCGATCAGAGACTTTGAGGACTTCGCAGGACAACTCACTAATCAATACTCAAGCGCGGTCGCCCAGGAGAAGACATACCTCACCCTGATGGCAATGAGGCAAGGCGAGAAAAAATCCTTACGGAAATATGTTGCTCGATATAATCAGGTGTGTCTGGAGGTGCCCACGGCGGGTGATGAAGTGAAAGCAGGAGGATTGATTAGAAGTCTAAGGCCAGGACCATGTCGAACGTCGCTGGCAAAGACGCCTGCTCGAACTTACGATGAGGTGCTCAAGAGATGCAAGAAATACATTAACTTGGAAGAAACGGAAGCAGAATTCGCCAAGCTCGAGGACGTTGTGAAGCCCGAGCAGAAGAAAGGAAAAACAAGTTCGCCCAGAAGGGGATCGCCTAGGAAAAATTCTCCAAAAGGAGGATCTTTTAAGAGGTCGTCGCCCAGGAGGGGTGGGCAAAGTTCGTTCCAAGAAAGGCGAGAAGATCGCTGGCAGGGGCGACCTCGGCTACCAAGCGGTCAGAGATATAATCATTTTACCCCTATCAACGCCCAGATGGGCGAAGTCTTGGCGGCCATAGAGGAGAAGTTGGAAAGCAAGGAAGTCACCTGGCCATCGACCAGGTTCGAGGGACCGACCAAACCTAGGTCGAATAAATACTGCAGATTTCATAGGGACTACGGACATAATATAGACGATTGTAGACACTTGAAAGACGAGATCGAGCGTCTTATACGGGCTGGGCACTTGAAAGAATTTGTCATTCGCGATCGACCACGAGGTAAAGAAAGGAGAAGATGCAGGGAAAATTCTGCGGCAAGGAGTGATAGGGACGATGATGGAGAGGACAATGCCAGGAGAGAAAGAAAGAGACGACAAAACGATGATCGAGAGGAGTTGAGGGAGGAGGTGCCTGTGAAAAGGGGCACGATCTA